CGCTCCACAAATTTCACAGCGCAATATTTTTCAAGATTTTGTTTTGATTTTTGATCATCTTAATATTTTAGTGACTAGGCATTATTTCTAACCAATTCTGTTTTTTGAGTAGTATCCTATTTACATGATTTTGTACTTATGTCGACCCAAATTTCGTCACTCAATGCGCCTTTTAACTTGATAATGAATGATTGAAACATTCGAAACGTCGTTAACGAAATAAAAATGTACATCGGTACGCTGATTTTCAATTTACCAGTGCAAACGAAAAAGGTTGTTCGATCAATTGAAAAAACTAATAAGAAAATTGTCAATAAAACGAATTCTCTGGTCTTCAATGAAATATTAAAATTTATATATTTAATTTTTAACGCAGGTTTCATTGAAGACCAGAGAGTATTTCTTATTGGCAATTTTCTTTTTGTTTTTCTCTATTTGCTGAATTAGGCTCTTGATAGGAAGTGAAAATCCAAATATTAGGTTTCCAAGTGACATTTTATTATAATTTTACGACGTTTCGAATGCAACTTCATTCATTATCAAGTAGAGGAAGAGTTTTGCAACAACTGAATTTGAAATTTTGAAATGACATTAGTACAAACATAGGTATTATGGATACAGATTGGAATCAAAGCTTAAATTACGAGAACAGTTTCAACGTACTGACAAATCCGGTAGTTTGCAAATTAATAGGTATATTATAATTAATATAATTAAATTAATATAATTATTAGCTATAATATAATTAATAACCGAACGGACAATGAACCGACATCAAACGAAAGTATTATAACAATTTATTACCAAAATCAGATGACTGAAGGCCACAAGACTGACGAAAGAGTCCTCAAATCAATTGTGCTGAATAACATCAGAAGCACAACCGCAGCCGACCGAATAAAACTCCTGATTTACTATAAAAATATGAAAATCAAGAATTTAATAATGAAGAATAACCCATGCAAAAAGTCGGGCCCATTACAAGAAACTAATGTTGTTTACAAATATTCCTGTCACAAAGAAGGTTGTAGACTTCTCCAGAACCTAAATTACATTGGTTTGACCAGCACGACTTTGAGCCGCCGCCTAACATGCCACCTCCATACCGGAGCAGGCCTCCCAGCGCTGGGTTTTTCCACCTAGATCTGGGTTTTTTGACCGTCACCTGGGTTCTGAGTTTTTTTCTAAATGGCAAAATCTGGGTTTTTTTCGTTATGTAAGTTAATTTTAGCTAATAAAGTGCTTGAAATATTCCCAATGCCTTCAATTTTACTATGAAGTCAATACAAAACAAATGTAGCGACGCACTAACCGTCAGACTGTATATTTTACCTAGCTGACAGACGGCAGTGGCATTAAACGCTTTCGTTAACCGTATTGAACGCGTTCGTTACCAGTCAAAGCAGAGGTTTCCAACTTCTCAGCGCACACTGTACAGTACTGTGCTCGTCAAGTGACAAGTTATAGTCGTGACATGCGTCATTAGGTTGCCTACTGTCGCTTTTGTACCTATCGGTGCTGTTAAATTGACATATAGTGAACAGTGAAAGCCCCGAAAATGGCGAGTCCTCAAGAAAAGTAGCTAAAAGTGGCACAAACAAAAGAAAAAGGTGTTTCCTATTGCGCATGATGTAAAACTCAACTCAGAAATGCTAATAGATCCATATTGATGGCACATCGTAAGACTGCGAAGCACCTCAACAACATGAAAACAGCTAAAGCAGCCACTAAAATTGATTCATTTATTAAGAAACAGATTCTTAAGGAGAGTGATTACACTGATGAGGAATTTGCAAAGGCAGAACTAGCTACTTGTATCTGCTTCTATTGCTGAACACAATGTGCCATTTGCGCATGCAGATCATCTAGTGGAAGTGTGTAAGAGAGCATTTCATGATATCACTTTTGATAAAAATGCAAAACTTCACGTAACAAAAGCTTCATATGTTATTCAGGAAGGAATTGCTTATGAAAAATGGGAAGTTGTTGATCAGTGTAGAAATGAAAAGTTCAGTCTAAATGTCTGATAAGCGATGAGAGCACAGACATATCCATTTCACAAGTATTAGCTGTTGTAGTTAGATATTTAAATTTTTGATGTTGAAAAAATGATATATGTGAATAAATGTGATAATAATAATGATAATAGCGGTTTCAGCGTTTAGTGGGCTAGGCCCACTAGGCCGATTCATAACATCACAGAACATTCACAGCATTTTGCGGTCTCGAACTCGCAACTCACTGCTACAATTCTGCTGTGCTTAACCGCCCGGCCTCCTTGCCGATTCTGACCAGAGACTGTCTCACAGAGCTGGGATCGAACCCGCGCCTCTCTGCGCCAGCTTGGACTACTCTGAACTTTAACCACTGGGCCACCCTGCCCACTGGTTATGAACTGTGATGGTTTGCTTGACTCGACTGTTGTTGAAGATGGAAGAGCCAGTGGTTTATACTACGCTGTTAAAACGACTCTGAATGAGAAAAAATTCCTTTTTTTCAAACATCATAGGATTTGAAAGCGATAATTGTTCTACTGTGGTGGTAACAGGAGAGACTTTCAAACCCTATTGAAGAAAGACATTCCATCAGTTTTTGTTATGGGTTGCGTTACTTGCGTATGCCATTCTTTTGCTCTTTGCGCAAGTCACGTTGTGAAAATGTTGCCATCCTATCTCGAATTATTTTTAAAGAATATTGCCTTCTGTTTTTCCGAGAGTAGCAATAGAAATAGGGATTTTACGCTCATCTAAGAGGTAACCAAGACAGAGACTCACAAAATACAAAATTTAGCAGCAGCCAAAGATTTATAATTCCATTAGAAGTAAGTAAAATTACAATGTTTTGGATGAAATATGTTGTCTGGGTTTTTTTCCACAAAATCTGCAGAATCAGGGTGTTTTTCAGCAAGCATCTAAGTTTTTCTCAAAATTTTGGCTGGGAGCCCTGTACCGGAGGACCGAAGAACCACATGAGAGAGGCTCATAATGAGACACTCACTCGCGCGACGTTGGAGACCCCACACCAGCGTTGCCAGATGGTATATTTCTATACCAAATTTCACAAATCTGGTATTTTCAGGTGTCAGGTATGAATATTTTAGATCTGGTATACTGGTATATTTGCCTAAATCTGGTATTTTTCTGGTGTTTTCTGGCTTACTGCATTAATTTCCACCTCGGAAGTTTGAACTTCCTCCAGCGTAGGCGTGGATTATATTGATTACCTTCAGAGCGGCGCGACTAGAGGTTTTTCGCCATTTTTGGAACCGCAAGTTTACCGCTTGATGAAATAACCCCAATCTAATTGTTAACATTTAACAACAGTGTTTAGTACAATATAAGCACGAGGGTGATGATCCTTGATTGATTACTGATCAGTGATGATATGGCCTAGGTCGAGTGAGGTTGTCGAACCGATCTCTGCGACGCAAGCTCCACCATTTTTGTTTGGTGGTTTTGAATTCTAGTGTGCCACTTATTGGAGTGCCACTTGAATTCTGGGGTGCCATTCAATATTTCACTGATCTTGAAAATCATCATTATAATCTGTTTTTAACAATAAAATTTCTGGCATAATTCTGGTATTTTGAGCTAGGCAATCTGGTATTCTCGCCGAGAAAAAACCTGGCAACACTGGACAGGCCTACGGCCTACTAAACGCTGAAACCGTCATTATTATCACCAGGCATTTACTTTCGATTGGAATTATTTTCATGTGGTTATAGTATTTAAACAAATCGACTACGTTAACAGATATTTTTCATCAATTTCTTCTAGACTATCATAATGATTCACCAATATTTGAATTTTTCTCAGTTTGCTCTGTGCACCCGTAGCCGTTGGGTGCAGGTGTTTGCAATGCAAAACACTTTCGGTACTCGGTAGGTCTCTGACAAATTTACGGCCGGACTCCAAATTCAGTGAGCATAGAATATCTCCCAAAGTAATGGACGTATTTCGGTTGTGTATTTAATTGAGTACGAGTTTTTGGCACTTGGGAAGTTGAGAGAACTGTTTGTTTCCAGTTCTCGAACATGAACATTTTTGTGACGAAAAAATTGCTACTATTGTTTGTTGCTGCAGTGCTTGCACGAAGTTCAACCTTATTATTGCAAGCCAGGACCGCGGCGGCCGCCAAAGTAGTACCTAAGCGGCTAAGCCTACCTAGTTCTAGTAAGGCTACCGTAGTACTTACTAGGTACTTCATGTTCATACTTGGCACTCTAAACTTGGATGATACATTCTCTGCCTTGACTAAATCGACTTGCCAGTTGCCGGTACTTCCAAATCGGACGACGTGTTATTTTTACTTTTTTTTCTCGTCCATTTCAATAGGACTAACGGCGGAAGAACTGTACCTGTAGGCTGTATGATATAATGATTTACCTTGCTCAGATGCTCTTGCTGGTCTTCGGTCACACCTTCTTCGTTTTTGGGAATTGGATTGGGTTACTACAGTAGCTACTGATGGGAGGAAGAAATGGTGAATTTTACACCACTATTTATAGTTTTGCAATATTTTAATTAGTTTACCTGCTACAACATTTCTACAAAATGCTGGAGGACTGTCCCTTATTACCCTGCCCATCCCTTTTTACCCCGTTTGATGGTACTGGTACCTCAAGATTTTTACCACAAATTTTTTTCTCTTTAGTTATATATTTGGATGTAGTTAGTTCCAATAATTTACCTTTACCAACTTTAACTTTTTAAGTGTTTTAGTAAAGCCCTGTTTGGCTGTTAGTGAGTTAGTCTACCTACCTAATTATAAAATATTTTAGAGTTTAACATAGTCATAGAGTACCTACCAAAATTTCTTGAGTTTTAGTCTTGATTGATGGAGCAAAAACTTAAATTTAGTGCTTTCATCTCTCTCCATCTTGAATGCTTGACTACACAGCTCAGCCTCTGAGGCCTGAGCACCACAGGGCTCAGGCCTCAGTTCACTGTTCTGTTCACTGTTTACTGTTCACTGTTCTCATAGATGTTAACTCATTAACTGAACTTTGTTTTCATATTTCAGCACAATGAGTAGAAAACTGGAGGTATTAAATGCCAAAACAGGCAAACTAGTAGCTTCTCTGGATGGGGTGAGTTTTAATCTCAACTTACATCATTACATGTGTACTAGATAATCTTGTGAAAACTAATCTGAAATTATTAGACTTGAAGATTTTTTTAACTAAATTTTAAAAATCATTCTACCATTCAACTTCAAGCAATGACTAGAGCTTTTCTGCCATTTTTGCAGCTGTGAGATTCCTGCTAGTGCTACTGCTAGCAGCTACAGTAGAATTGGACCTTCACCACTCAATCAGTCACTTTTGTTTACAATTGTTTAAGAGATAATTCATAAAGCAATAATCTTGTGGCTCCAAAAAATGGCAAGAATGCTCTAGCTAAGACTCAGAAAATAGAAATATTATTTTTGAAGCCTGCACTACCTATGTCTAGTGGTTTGGGAGTAATTATGGAATAATTTGGATTGGTGGGTTACATATATTGATATGATATTAATAAGGCATTTATATCATAAAACAATGGTCTAGTGGTAAGTCTTCCAATCAATATTATATAACCTGCCTTGTATAACAAAATCCTAAAGACATAATAGTTTCATTAGTCTGGGGCCATGAGTTAGGACCAAATTGACCAATTAGCAGTCTTTATTTTAATATATCCCTGTATTTCTGCATTATAATGTTAGGGAAATTATGTTGGTCTTGAGGTTGTTTTAAAATTAGACAATGCATTGCTAACCCAGTCAACAAGTCTTCACCCATGAAACCCTTACCTTTACCTTATTTACTTGCTTTCGCAAAAATATTGAGTTGGTTCAAATGACAAAGATATACAAATGAGTTGTATAAACCTTTTGTAGGCGAATGATGATGCCTGAAACATTTTTTCTCTTTCCCAGCTGAGTAGCAGCAGTACAATCAGTCAAGTCAAGGACGCCATTCACAAACAGAAGAAGCACCTCATCCCTGACCGGCAGGAGATCAGACCACAACAGAAAGCCAAAGGTGTGGTCAGTTAGTCTAGTATTTTACCTTCTTCTTTGTCTTCTCCTTCTTCTTTGTCTTCATCTTCTTCTTCTTTGCTATAGTTAGCCAGCATCAACAAAATTAAATCTGCTTCACTCAAGTCATTAAGTATATTGAATTCCTTTATTTCTAGCATATTTATATTAGTATTATATTCTTGTCATGGAGCTCAAAAGATCTTGTGTAGAACTCATGACATCTCAGTATTGTGATCACTATTTGATGCCAAGATTCATTAAGCACAATTTTTTATAATTTTTTATTGTGTATTGATGCTAATAAATAAATTTAGTGCATTTCCCTTTCCAATAATTCTGAGACAATCTTTAAGTCACACCAAGAAAGATATTGATTCTGGAAAAATGCTTGTAAAATTTGTTAGATTTTTTTTTATGATGTATCCACGAAAGTCTATTTTGATTGGATAGTATCATAGTTTCAATAATTATCTCAACTCATTTTACTGCAATTGATGTATTCTGGACTTAGTTTTTATAAGCTTAGTGCATATTCATTTACTAGAAAACAATTTCTCACTAGAACAATGCAATATGATTCAAGTTCTTTATCATCTAGTGGAAGAAGTAATCAACATTCATTTCTGCAGTTTTTTGGTGTGTCTTGATGTTTTGGTAAACTACAGAGAAATTTCCTCTATTTTGTGTTGCATTTTCATTATTTTTCTCAACTTTAATAAGGTAGGTACCTATATTGCTGTAACAGCCATATTTCTATTAATGAATATTGTTGAACATTCTACATTTGAATTCAAACTATGGTGTATGAAAAGAAAATTAGAAAACATAATTTTTAGCCCATTTCGATTAGAAAAATTTCCAAGATTAGCTCTGGAGATTGTTAATACTTACCTTATATGTGTAGATACTGTTAATACTTACCCAAATAGGTACATATATACAGTTAATACTTACATATACCAGTATGCATAGAAACAATAATACTTACCTATATATGTAGATACACTTAATACTTACCCACCTATATATGTAGATACCATTAATGCTTACCTATGTACGTAGATACTGTTAATACTTACCTATATACATAGATACAGTTAACACGTACAACTTTTTGCAGGATGCCGCGATGATGCCACTCTCTCCTCCCTGAATATCACTCCTGCTGGTGGCACTATTTATGTCAAGGATCTTGGCCCTCAGATTGGCTGGAGTACAGTCTTCTTAGCAGAGTATGCAGGTAAGATGATGCATCTCCTTCTTGTAGTTGAAAAGTTTAAAAGTGACTTATTAAAATTTGAAGTATTATGTATATGTACCGTCATTATCATACATAGAAAGTAAATAAATTCTAAACTAGATCAAAGAAATTTAATATAAATTGGTTTATAAAAATTTGACACTATGCAGTGTGATGCTGCAGGCCTATCTTTAATTATAAATAATGCAAACAGTGATTGAATCATTTCCAGAGTATCCAATTATGAAGAAAATCTGAGAAATATTCAATCAAGAAGAAAATTTAGTTGCTAATAAGTCAAAGATTCAGGTCCCATTAGATATAATATTAGCCATGTATATAAATTGAATATCAGAATAAAAGGTGAAAGTTTGAATACAAAAATGGGAGGAGCCTAATGTTCTCACATATTTAATCTCAGATCTGGAAAATATCAATGAAATTCATTGTTGCCATTTGTGTAATTTTGGTTCCATTGTTGGTTGATGTTTATGTATGTATCGTTGATAAAACTCCCTCGTTCTTTCTCTATCTGTGTCAAAATATTTGAATCGATCTTGACAACCAATCTTGTGTTCAGATTATTTTCTATAGAAATGTAGATATTCAACATAATTATAAGAGACTGATATACATTGTACATGTTCCTATATAATTATTAGAGACTGATAATTAGACTTATTCAATTCAAATCGCCAATGTTTTCTAGGACCTCTACTGATCTATGCCTGGATCTACACCCGACCATGGCTCTTCTATGGAGTGGGAGCTGCTGACAAGCCCTATTCTTTGTGCACCAAGTGAGTCAATGATGGCTGTTGTGAATGTGAAGTGAGTCAATGATGGGTGTTGTGAATGTGAAGTGAGTCAATGATGGCTGTTGTGAATGTGAAGTGAAATGTTTCAAGCAAATGGCTTGACTATATGGCAATGTCATTAGCAAAGCCTTGAGAACCTCTTACATTCCTTCTATATTTATTAGGTATTCTTTATGGAATTCAGATTAATAAAATAGTAGCCTGTTAAACCCGAGTTTTTTGCTGCCAGTATCCCGTCCCTTGTAATAATCAGAACTACAAAAGGATGAGTAGAATACAGTGTCAAGTATAAATTGTTTTCTTGATGATTATGAATTGTTGAGTAGGAATGAATTTGACTAGTACGAACTGTTGAGTATGAAGTGACCAGTATGAACTGTTGAGTATGAATTGACGAGTATGAACTGTTGAATATGAATTGACGAGTATGAATCGTTGAGTATGAATTGACGAGTATGAATCGTTGAGTATGAACTGATGACTACGATTTTGATTAGTATTAACTGATAAGTATGAATTATTGAGTATGAATTATTGAGTTTGAATTATTGAGTATGAATTATTGAGTAGGTGTGCATTATTGAGTATGCATTATTGAGTATGAATTGATGAATATAAATTGTTTTCTTTATTCCACCAGGATCGCCATGGGCTGCTACTCAGTGCACTATGTGAAGAGGCTGCTGGAGACGCTGTTTGTGCACAGGTTCTCTCACGGCACTATGCCCATCTTTAATTTATTCAAGAACTGCAGCTACTATTGGGGCTTTACTGCTTACGTGGCGTACCACGTCAACCACCCGCTATTCACCACCCCTTCTGAGCTTCAAATGTATGCCGCACTTGTGGCATTTTCGGTCAGTAATAAGTTTTTAGCACATTTTCTCATTTATGGAAAAATGCACTATTGTGCTCGCCATGTCCGTCCGTCCGTCTGTCCGTCCTTCCGTGACTTCACGTTTTCGTCGACGAGAAAATGCGCTCTCTGTCACTCACTGCAGTGAGAACTGAGTTTTATTTTTTTAAATATGTACTTGAATATAACATAATTTCTAATTAGTGGAGTTATATTAAAGAATATGTTCGCATTATTTAGCTCTTAAGAATATTAGTCTTATGATTATGATTTGTACCTAACTTGTGAACTAATTTTTGGCAATTATCACTATATATTCGTCAAGAAAAGACCGATTCATAATGAAGAAAGTTTACAGAATATATTTAGAAACCCATCTTGTTGATTTCTTCAACCTTCCTAATCCTTATTTAAAGTGTTGGGAAATGCTCCATTCCAGCTCTACTTGTAAGTTTAATTATTTTTATTATTGCTACACTTTGAAGATGCCATCGTTACGTCTGTTATAACAATATTATTGAGGTACGCACGTTATATATCAAGAGAACTGAGAAGAAGGCCATAAGTACGTACAAAAAATTGCAAAAAAGTTAGAAACTGCTGTATACAAGTCATGGGATCTACAAAATAGTCAAGTCTTAAGGCAATGTCTAAACACTGGCACCGACGTACAAGCCGATGTTACAGAAGCTGGCAGACTGTTCCAGGCTCTGGCCGTGGTGCCAGGGGACGCAAGCGGTTCATGAGCTCGCATTTCTATTTTTTGGCTCGATATTTCAACGCCTGAAAGGTTAATGAGCTCGTTATTTCAACGCTTGAAATGTTTATTTGCTTATTATTTCAACGACTGAAATGTTTATTAGCTCGTTATCCCAACGACTGAAATGTTCAGAAGCTCGTTATTTCAAAGACTGAAATTTTTATTAATGTTTATTAGCTCGTTACGTCAACCACTGAACCTAATTAACATCGTGCAGGTCTGCGAGCTGGGCAACCTGTCTATCCACTGGGCACTGCGTCAACTGCGACCTGAGGGCTCAAAGGTGCGGCGCATCCCCTACCCTAGCAACAACCCCTTCACGAGGCTCTTCTCTTTGGTGTCGTGCCCCAACTACACTTATGAGGTCGGCGCCTGGCTCTCCTTCAGCGTCATGACACAGTGCATTCCAGGTCAGTGATGCAACAACTGTATCCAGGCTCTATTTAATTGTCAATGGTTACTTACGGTACTGGTTACTAAGTTAAACGTTGAGTTATCAGTTAGAAACAATGAGTTATCAGTTAGAAACAATGAGTTATCAGTTAGAAACAATGAGTTATCGCCGAGTTGTTTCATTCATATGCCCGTGGATAATAGTTTGTACCGAGTAATTGGTTCTATTGGATAATTTGTAGTATTGGATCCTCTTTCTTTGATTGGATAACCTTTATTTATTTTTTGGATCAACTTTTTATTGGGGGTGAACAGCTTCAAACGCCTAAATTTTGCCGCATGTTTCTTTGGATTCTATTTTAAACCACCCGTGCAACTTTATTTCGAGCGTTTTTAAAGGGAAATAACGTTCAAAGTGGTAGCAGTATCGCCAGTATTGCATTTCTAAGTTAAGTTAGATGAATACTCGTGCCTTGAATACTGCTCGTTGTTGAGCAGCAGTTCCAGCTCTAAATATTACGTACTACCAAATCTGACGAGAATTTAAATATATACTGGTACCTACTCAAAACAACTTACAGGATAAACGTACGAATCACGAGTGGCTTCCATAAAGTGGTCTCTGCTAGTATCATGAATGCTAGTTGTAGTATCTCTGTAAGTGGTCATAAAGTGGTCTCTGCTAGACTAGTAGTAGTATCTCTGTAAGTGGTCATAAAGTGGTCTCTGCTAGTATCATGAATGCTAGTAGTAGTATCTCTGCTAGTATATGATATTATATGGCATAAGCTAACTACCTGCATATTCCAACAGCTGGTCTCTTCATGCTGGCGGGCTTCTACCAGATGGCCGTGTGGGCGCTCGGCAAGCACCGTAACTACAAGAAGGACTTCAAGGACTATCCCAAAGGACGCAAAGCCATTTTGCCTTTCCTGCTCTAGACAAAAATTTTCTTCCTCTCTTCGAAGTCATTTTACTTCTTCATTTATTCAGATGAATTTTTCTATTCTTACTGTTAGTGAAGTATCAATTTCAGCCACGAAAATCTTTCAAGCATTTCTGTTTCAACTGCTCTGCTTAAGAATTTCCTTCGAAACGCAACGCTATTTGCCGTCGTGACTCTGAATCTAAGTTATTTTTTTCCTACTCTTCACTAAGTCGTTTGTTCTACACTGGCAAGTCCCATAAACCCATTTAAATATGCTTAAATGTTTAAGCCATTTTCTTTAAGCTCAATGTGTTCCATATCCTCGTAGTATGCTTTCAAACTAGGAGCCACGCCCATCTTCCTTAAGTAATAATTTTGCGTGTTCAATTTAACGCAGTTCATGATACTGCTATGTCTGTGCCATAAATTATATTGAATATCTTGATACATTGTTCACTCTTGTACCATCCTGTTCTGTTACCATGACACTTTTGTACTTGAAATTTTATCATAATTATTAAAAATTCGAGCGGTCCAACTATATCTCGTCCCAGCCAATAGATTTCAATAAATTTGTTTTGATCAGTAAGTTACATTTTCCGCAATGCTTCGCTCACAAATACTGTTCATAATTATGTATGGGAAATGAAAGGATGCGATAATTGCTAGTTTTAAGCAAAGACGGAAAGTTATTTGAATTGTTTCTTCTTAATTAGCATAAACACGTTTATTTTTTAACCGTAATTTCTTTCTGCTGGGTTAAGATTTCCTCAAGCTCTTATTTACACATCATTCGAAACCTCTTTATCTTGTCAGCAAATCGCGAACCAATAGAGGATACGAATATTGCTTGGCTGTTGAAATTAGATAATCGAGTCACGTCTACCAAACCTAATTATCTGCGAATAAATTACTAATTTAATTGGACTTTATATACTCGTCTATTGTACTTGCATTGTGCGAATATATTCAAACGGCGGTATCTTAATGTTGCGAAATGTACTTAAAACAACTTTCTTGCTGCAAAATTTAATTTATGTTAGGTTTTTTCATAATCTTTGCTGCTGCTTCTTTGTTCTAATTTACAGACTTGGATTGTCTGGTTTGGTGTTGTTTCTAATTTAAGTTAAACTTCAATGACATATTATAAGTTTTGGTCAAGTAAGTAAGTGGTAAGTTATCACTGGACCGCGGAACTGATGATAATTTTTTTGCGTTGGTTTAAGGTTATGTTTTATTTGTATTTTGCTCAGTACTTGATGTATCATGTTACTATAACTGTTTCTTCTATACTTGGAGAGAAGGTATCCAGCTTACAGTAGGCGACAGAGGTGATCAAACTTTTGGGACTTTGCGGATATCGAAAGAAGTTTTTATTGTTGGATTATTTGTCATTTTTACTGATTATTATGATACTGATGGCCAGATCTAAAGCTTTAGCGATCAGGAACGCTAAAATTAGGTAGGTATAGATGATAAATTATATTATTGAGTGTTTAATTTCAAATCACGTCTCTATTTAAACACCGAGACAACTGAACTCGATAAATGAAGCGTGAATGTTATTGGTTGGACGTTACCTGATGATCATGTTAATTAATTGATTATTCAGTTAAAAAACTGTGTGGTTCCTGGCTTGTCAGGATAAGGTTTGTTTTAATTGAAGCCAAATTTGACTTCATCCATATCACAATTGAACAATTAATTCATTTCGTTCTATAGTTACTTGGTATTTTTTTTCTTCTAAAAACTTTAAACTGTCAATGTTGGTCTTGTTGATAAATAAATTTCGACTTTAAATAAAAAATGCACGACAAAAATGAAAATTCAAAAATTTTCGGAATATTTACAATGGCATTTTTTGAGTGAGAAAGCGACAAATCAATTGTACATTTTCGGCGACAAACAACGTCACTAATAATGATAACAAATCTATGAATAACGCGATAGATATAATTATTTTGAAACCTATGTTTACAATGTCACCCATGTTACACTATTAAGATTAATTGGGGAACAATGACGGTGTGTCTGAGGTCTAACAGTTCTATGCGCTTCTGTTTAGGTGTTGAGGTTTGTTATGGTTTTTATTTTGGTGCATGTTGTTTTATTTCTGTAGTAAATTTCGACTCTATTAAATTATTTCCTCTCCTTTTTCGCTTAGATCGTAAGTGTAAATTAAAATGTTAGCGTTCGTTTAGCAAGAACTGAAACCTATTTGAATTCTCTTAGCATACTTCATTAATGAAAGCTGCCAGGATGTACCTAGTACTACTTAGAGCACATCAAGAAGCTTAGCCTTCCAGTGCTTAGGCTTTCAAATTTCATATGCACTTATTCTAGTGCAAGAAATTTCAACGAACCTAGGTAAGATTATTTAATCCTGAATGTTTGCTTTGGTAATCACTAATTCTGAAATCAATTCGAGTGTAAATCATCGATTAATCGATTAATTAAGAAACGAAAACGTCCTAAATCTTTTTACAATGAATAAAATTGCGGAAACTCTCGAACTGAAATTATTATGAGCGTAATGAATCGAAAATCTTGGTAATCCATGATCAGCAACATACCGCAAAGCGATGCATATTAATGGCTTCGGTCGTCCGTCACTTGAGGCAGCGGGAGGCGGCCGCAAATTGTCGCGCCTATTCGAGCAATGTGACCTCGGCCATTACGGAGCCTGGAGGGAATAGGTCCGCAATCGCGGGAACTTTTCCGCAATTCTCGCGCTGATTGCTTATTGACCTCGAGTTCTGTTCTAACTGTTGAGGCAAGAGGTTCCTTGTGTTGAGCTCCCGTGACAGTAGCCGGCTTCGGCCGGCTGCTACGTCATCCTTTCTAGAACTATCTTTCTCAAGTACTGTGGTTTTAGAGGAGTTCTACATCATATAAGTTAAACTAAATAAGAAGATGGCTTCGGAGGTGACCGGGCTAGTGACCTCAAGCTGATATACCAGCGCACCTCCAACAAAATATGACTTTAGTTACCGCAGCGTCAGAACTAAACAGCGAGAACTTTTTAGCGTGTGACTAAATAAACTGAAGGTTAACACGCATATGTACGTAAGTAACAATTGAACATATAATAAACGTATGGCTAAATTATACTAGTTATGAATCATGCAATGAATATTTAAAAAAAATCAATGACAAAGCAAATAAAGACTCCCATATGCTAAATATGCTCCCATATAAGACTCCCATATGCTAAAGCTAATTGACAACAGTGATCTGCGAAAAAGATACGAAGATTCCTATGTTCCGGGATGCTAGGATTCGGCGTCAAATTGTAGTGTACGTTATTGCAATCAATATTAGATGTTATCCATTACCCAAAATCATATTAAGAAACTGTTGATGGTTTACGTTAGCGTTACTATATGTTGCAGTGTGCGACATGCTAAGTGAATGCACTATGTGGTACCGGGATTGAACAGCACGTAAGGCATTTTGAGTCGCACATGGTTCCTATTTTTGAACAAGTTAAAAAAATACTTTCAACCATTGAAAATAATTTTATAAAAAATATTTCCTGCATTAGCCCGTAGAGAAATTTTAGGTTTTGATATGATGGAAAATGCGCATAATATTACTTCTCACAATTTTAGGCTCCAATATTGGGGAAAATGAGGTACAGTTGGATATGGCGTCAATTATTTAATATATTAAACTTCAATTATTTAATATATTTAACGTCATATAAGGAAACGTCAGTTATTTAATATATTAAAAGGTACGACGGCTCCCTTTGCCAAATCTGTCAGGGCACTGACTGTATGCCATTAATACCCTACACTGTTGTTGAAGGTTACCCTTTAACAAATAAAAAATTCGACCCGTCACACCGTAACCCACGCCCCTGTGTATCCCACCCTCCATAGTCCTAATGCTCACAATGAAAAGGTTTTCATTTAACTTGTAAGCCACATAAAACGTGACAACTCATAAGAAAACAGCATCCTGAGCGAACGTAATTTTTTTTTTTTTTTGCAAATAGCGCGAGATATTTCAACGAATTTTACGAATCGAATAAGAGAATTTCGTTTTCAATTTGTCATTCTGACGGTGTTCATTTTCCAGGAATAACAAGTCAATTTGAGATTATTCGTAAAGAATATCTGTCTTAAACTACGTTAATCAAACTATTAGAAAACAAATAAAATTAAACCAAACAAAACGACTCGAATGAATTATTCAACTTTAGTATAGTATAGTATAGTATCTTCGGCATTGAAGAATAGGCCTGTCGCCGATTCTTGTATTTTTCTTGACTAGACTGGCCTCTTGATAAAATCTTTTCAACGGACGGTAGGTTTAAAATCGTTTAATCTTTAAGGAAACTTTACATAAGTAACTTTTAAATAAATAACTAAAATAACTTACATAAATAACTCAAGGAAACTTTACATCAATAAGAGATCTATTTTACAACCTATCACAAACAATGGAAAGTTTTTTGGAGATACCAGTGTCGGTGAAGTCGATCACTTGTCTGGTTTGTGTTCTAATGGATGTCGCGGAGCAGGCAGCCACGACCGGCGAGACAAAGCCTCGCGAAGAATGTCGCTGACACAAACTTGATGACCGGAAACAAATGCCCCAACTTTACAGACTGGCATCGGGTTTTGTTTGTTCTCAAGATCACTGCAACTTTCAGCCAATTCCTCAAATAAATGCATTTCATAATGAATTTATTTTTATTGTGCATCGTTATTACTCGGATTTGTGTCGCAAAATTTAATACAAAAAAATTTTCATACGTGATAATATGACACTAGTAATAATTTCGTCTTTAGAGATGAGAAAAGGCTAAAAAAAGTAAGAAACATTATATGCCTAATTCTCATAATATTTTGGGAGCTGGAAGCAAATGAACGTTTCAACGTTTTCCTCCCGCACGAAAAATTTAAGTTTGATTTAAAAAAGATTGTAATACCGTATCACAGACCACAGGCCAGTCACAATATAATAAAAAGATCAGTTTTATTTACGTGATCCTATAATCAATTGGTTGGAAATTTTGCAATTGAGTAAACACGAGCTAATAAATTCCATGATGCAATCTGCTTGTTATTTTAGGGTTGAAGATATGAACCTTATGCACTGGCGCCGATCATCTGACCTGAAACGTAGAATGTCTTTAAGCATAAAATCCTTTTTTTGATAAAAAATATCGCATTTTATCATAAAAAGTAAGTGTATCTAGATAGCCTATAGATGACATCTACGACAGGACGCTTATTCTTTCTTAAGAAAGATACCCTTTTAAAGCCTCTCGACTGTAATATCTTTAGAACGATGTGACTTGTGAAACTAGAATTTTAATGTCATGAAATAACATTTTTCCTCTTTTTCGTATATCTGGAAGGTTAGACACGAATCATGTTCTTAGATTTTACATTACATATTACATATTATAAGCCATCGTCTCGCAACGATAAAATATGGGATAAAATTCGCACATTTTGCCTTTTTGGCAAATGTTCCTGACATCTGGTGCATGAATAAGACCTCTCGGGTAATTTTCCGATTGCTCATGGGGTCGGTCTCCAAATTCAAATTTCGATAACATATTTTTCGAGCAAATATACCTTATAATAAATAATTGGAATAAAATTAATTGTTAAAGAGAATTTTAATTTAATTTTCAGTCAGCAGCTGCTTTCGCGGTAGAAATAGCAAAAATTTATTTCCCACAAGCGCTTGAAGATTTTTCTCCCAATTCTCGAAAATGTCCTTCATTTTTCCTTATGTTCAAGTATCCAGTTTTCTCTAAAACCAACATTAATTAGTTATAATTTTCGATTGAAGAAAATTGACCTGTAACTTTCGACATCGGCCCTGATACATCGGCCCCTTGGCCGGCCAGGACCATCGGCCTCTTGTCAAGCCAGGACCCATCGGCATCGGCCCTGATACAATCACCCTTCGTTTTCATTACCTGGCGGAGCCTTGGAAGCACAGGACCTGTTTTACGGCTGACAAGTTTCGGACTTTGTGACCCGACTACCGGCGTTGTCAGAGTCACATGTGTGCTTATTTGTTGTTTAATATTCACCGCGAGATGATGCAGATGACCTGAAATTCTGCGAAGTAGATCATGCTGCTCTTAGAATTTTATTTTACCACGATATCAGTTTGTGGTCATTTATTCAATGGTCTGCAGACATTTAACGATGAAAAAAGTCATCCAATAAGTCTTAATATTCAAAATCAATAAGTGGTTATTTACTCGGTGGTCTATAAACATTAAGCGATCAAAAAAGGACATCCATTAAGTCTAAATCCAAATACATGTATCATCAGGACGAAAGTTTCGAGTTCCACAGACAAGAAAAAATTGTAGGAGATTTTTGTAACTAGAAAAAGATTACAAGCAATGCAGGTCTTGACATAGCGTGCAGCAAAGCTGCGTTCATCTTCATTTTCTGCCCACGAGCTTCTCTTCCATCAAGCAGATGAGGCCGTCCGGGGGACATTTTTTCCTTTTCCTTCAAATGAAGAAAATAATCTTGCACAGGCGAAAAATCGAACAATGTTTTTTCCCTTCTTACTGTTAAAAATTTATCTATTTCAATCTGATTATTGTATGTTTTGCTATGAATTTTTAAGACAACTCACCGTTAAAATTTTTCAGTTGGTATTGTACCAAACAACTTCGTTTTCATTCTTTTACGTATTTGACAAGATATTTGTCAACGCCACATCACACATTGACATCCATCAATACTTACTGAAACAATTTTAACCATACAAAAAAAAATCCAGAGATTTCCTTGCAACAGCAATAATTTGAGGCAGAAAATGCAATCTAAGACCCCTGTATACCAGTCTGATAAACTGCTTTGGATGAATGTTAAAAGTGGCGATTGTGTCAATTTTTCATACTAGAAACTTCAGTTTTACAATCAGCATATAGCTGCACAGTATTTAATAAGCATTTCACAATAAATGGAGCTTGCGTTGTAAAAAAAAGAAAACATTCCAAATTCTGGACGTTTTTCAATATTTGCAAGAAAACTTCACTGCACTGAAAATTTAACATATATATATCTTTAAGTTCGCTTTTTCATTTGCGACTTAATATTTTTATTAAGTCGCAATCTGTACTTGGCACTTGACATACAGAGTGATTGATATGTATTATTACGTCTTACTTCAGATTGAATACGTCGTTTATACTGCATTTGTAACATAACAACTTTGAAAATTTTATAATGATTCTTCATATTTACATAGATGTAAATTATGATTATGAGTTAATGGATCGCGTAAGGGAGTTAAGTAGCGTAATTTCTAGACATGAAGAATTCATAATAATCGAGCAAAAATGGAAAAATTTATTAAAAAGGAATTTCAAGACATCATTTTTTGCAATGACGGCAGTAATTTTTTTGTTAAAATCCGCGACAAATTTTGAATTGACCTTGCGTAGCCGATCGAAATTCGAAGCTTTTCTTGGTGACAAAGGATGCGAAGAAAAGTAACCATGTAATTGTTACCTTCAAGGTAATTGACCAAGATCCTGGTACTCCTAATAAGTCATCGGGCATATTCACGCAACTTCAAGTACATGTAAAGTACTCAGATCTGTACAAAATATGTTATATTTATAAGTAGTGAACTGAAAAAAGTCCTCAGGAAGTATAATAATAATAATAATAATAATAATAATAATAATAATAATAATAATAATAATAATACTTCAGAATGAAAGATTCTCAGAAGAAATTTTTCAATAAGAATGAGAAATTTTTTCTCAGAATTTTTTTAAAATAAGTCATGAGCACATGTGCAAAAAATTTCACCAATTAAGTAGTGAACTGAAAAAAGTCCTCAGGAAGTAGAACAAGAAGCGGCAACGTGCACTGTGACGTAGCTAACAATGAGCTATGACGTCACACACGTCAACGGTCGAGGCTCACAAAAGGCTTAGCTAGCAATATGGTGAGCACTGAGCCGGCCGGAGCCAGTCGGAGCCGGGACAGAGTGTGGCTACATTCCAGACCGCGCCATTAGTGTGACTCTCGCAATATTTACATTGTTTTCAGTTAATCTTGACTCATTTAGCGTGGGTGGGTCAGGTACAACATGTGCTACGCACACTCAGGAGAGTGCACGCAAGAAGAACGAAGCATGCAGCCGAGGTACAGTATACATACATGCGTTTGTTTACAGCGCGATCGATGCTATGACGTCACGACCTGCGAGGTGAATATAAAAGCCGCTCCAGTTGAGGGAGTTGCTCAGTAGGTGCCAGAAGTGATAGTGCGAGCGTCCTACGCTCGTGTGCCAGGTCAAGTTCATTAAAGTGACCATAAATCGGGAAGCCTGTACTAACATTAGTAAATTGACGGGCGGGCATCAGCAACCCGTAGCAGCGGTAAAAGCCGCTTTGGGACGGATAGCCGGTGCTATGGCCGGCTTAGGAAAGTCTAAGTTCACCACCAGGCGGTTTAGTATCACCACCATCGCCATATGTGTGGTGACGCTCATACTGCTGGTAGTGAACACAAGTGTTAGTGGTGCACGACAGCCCCAAAAATTGTCTTCTCGGGATGTCTTCACGAATTCATTTTTGGTTCGACTTCGTAGGTCCGCGGACAAACCGGAAGACATCGCACGCAAGCTCGGCTTCCACTACATGGGCAAGGTAGGTATGATACGAGGTCGCATATGGCGAGCTCAGCTTAATCCTGTCTTGATACTCTCCAAACCTTGCATAAACACTTCATATGAGAACCACACTATAGTATTATTATCGGGGCAATTATCAAATAACGCTATCAGAAATTGACATTATGTCAAAACTTTTTTATAGAACCTTGTTCAACAATCACTAAGTGGACGTAATGCACACGGTAATGTTGTTAGATAATTAAATAATCACATAAAACTTTAATGCAATATTTATGACCATGTCAATGTAATAAAATATTTATGTAAATATTTATTTTTTTTTTATGTTTATCGCTAAAAACGACTACACATGTCTAATTTATCTTAGGAATTTTCTCGCATGGTTATTTGAATATAATTATGAAATGTTTGAAATATATTTGAAGAAAGATTCTAAGAAATTCGTATACTAGTGATCGTAAAATTTACAATGAAATTTCTTAGTGCGAAGAGATATTCCAATTTTATTAGTATATTGTAATCATATTGAGGTTAACTTCGTATGATAATTTTTTATGAACGCGTCTGCTCTCGTGTAAACGTCTGCTCACCTGTCGTCAACCGGCAATTTTTTAATCGTTCGATTTTGCTAATTAATAGTTGCGATTTATTCATGCTTTTTATTCAAATGAAATTGCAGATGAAATGAAAACAAGAAAATTGCAGAATGGTTTCAAGTAAGGTTGATTCCAAATGAAGAGGCTGGACTCGCCAATAATATCCTCTAATATCAAATAGAAACATACTATTTTTTGCCATTTTCATTAGTATATTGCAGCGTTACAATAAAGTGCACTGTCTAAACAGTATTTAAGTGCTAGCGGCATGAATATTGAACTATCTTAATATTAGTATTAATCGAAGCAAGCGGGAATTTATATCTTTTTGTTTTCCACCATACAAGGGCATTGGGAAAATATTAAATAGCCCCTTCATGGTAAAAATGTGTGAGACATTAGCATTGGAATTTTCTAACGGGCAATTGAGGTAAACGAATCGCGAGCCAATCAATTGCCCAACACAAACTGAATAAATATGGGCAATTTTTAGTTATCTAAATTCGAATAGAAATGCGTTGTTTAAAAAAAATTCTCTTAAATCTACTTTTTCCTTGACAGGTTTCTTAAATTGAACTGTCAATGGCTGATGCAAAACTATAACCAGAATAATTTTTTTCTACGTCACAAATCATGATTAGGAGTTATAAAAAAGTAATGTCATTTCAGCCTACTGGAAATTAAGAGATGTAATAATTTTGAAATATTCTTTAATCAGTTCTTGTTGAAATGATATTAGCGATCACGTGCTGGTGCGTGGGCAAAAATATTTTTACTGACATACACGATGGGCTTCTACCTCCAGCGGCTGTTCTGTACGTCGCCGAAGGCAATTTTACTCGGAATTTATAGTCGTAATAATGTTATTTATTACACTAGCATTACGATAAATCTTAGACGATCGGATGTTAGAAAGCAACGAGTGTGATTGGATCCGAGATATAGCGTGGCAGTATAACTATTAATGGTACCATAAATGGCGGTAACATAACGAACTTAAATAGTTTTTAAACGTTCTATTAGTAATCAGTATCGTAAATATCGTGACAATAAGGATTTTTAATAGTTTTAAAAATAGTGTAACAGTAACCTGTGCTATTGATTCAATAGAAGTATCGACAATTATTTACCAAATTATAGTTTAATGAATAAAGAGATGGCGTGAATTAGGTCATGTGTGAAGAGGGTTTCACATCTTTATCATCACAGTGGCATCGATCGCAGATATTTGAAACATGAGGAAGATGCGAAACATGAGGCAACAGCAAAAAATGTAAAAAAAGGACATGAGACAACAGCAAACAATTTAAAAAAAGGACATAAGACACCTGCAAACAATTTAAAAAAAGGACATGAGACAACAGCAAACAATTTAAAAAAAGATATGAGACAACAGCAAACAAATTAAAAAGGAGCTATTACAACAAGGCATCAAATAGGAACCAATAAACATGGAAGAAGGAGCCAATAAAAGTATTTTAAAAAGGTATTTTCCGAACTAAAATTTCTATAATTGCCACCTATGGTACAACATATGACGCGTATAATTCAAAATTCCATCATTTTATGATGATTCGATAACGGAGTACGAATCCATAGTTAAAGTAACAATGAATTTGATTTTATTACAAACACCGATTAACAAATTTTATTCAAAATTGGAAATCGTAAGCCCATCTAAATGATATGCAATGATGACACATTTTACATTGTTAGAAGCAATTGAGGTCAAATTATTTTATATAATTGCAGCCAGAACTTCTCATTGCATTCATCCACAGGTGACACTGAAAACTTTCAATAAAACAGTCATAAAAAAAGTTAAAAAGAAATAAATATCGAAATTTTATATTCGTTTCTTGACGTCCACTCTGAATTTTCTAAAAAGTGGCAATCAGTCAATGATCAAATTTGTTTATTCATGAGGCTGATGGAATTTTTTCTAGAATTCTTGCGGCGTCTATCATTTATAAGTGACGCGTTGGCTGTAAATTATAGTACAAGTGTTAGTGGTGTATTTTTACATCCATAAAATGGAGATAGGAAAATAATTAGAGATAAATGCAATCGAAAATTTATAAAAGACCGCGTCATTGTTTCTCTGTTTTATTTTGATGCTTCATTGTTAAAAATTTCGATGCACGTGTCAGTCAAAAAACGTATGTAAATTTGTTCTAAATAAAACCCATCCATAAAAAATTATTTTAAGTTCCCTTTCAGCGTTCACTAGCGTACACGTGATCAGTAGAAGCATCATTTAAGAAAGAGGCTCGAGATAAAAGTAAATGAAATGCGAGAAGCAAACTCCGTAGAGTATAGTAGTTGTGGCAGACTATAGCATGCAGGAGAATTACGACTGCTTAGACGTGACGAGAGATAACTTGAAAGCTGATCATTCTTAAGTTCATTAGGAGAATTTTTAAGCTTTAGTCCACGGCTTAATGAAGCATTTATTTAGAGCGGAGGTTCCTTACTGGCAATGTAATCTGGGCACTTTTCAAGCTCCGGTATAATAATGTTAATTGGTGCACATTCAGCTCATGAAAATAATCTAGCCTTTTTCTAAAATATTTAGCCCTATTATAAGTTGAATTATGTACCACGGATTTATTTATGCAACATACACATATTATGACGATTACAACTTTTAAACGTTAAATAATTTCAGAACTAATTCACCTGTTAGGAAATCTTTATGAATTCGCAGTTTTCCTTACGCAATGAAAATTATTTATTTATTGAGAAAAGCTAGTAATTTGAAAATTAAGGGACTGAGAAATTCTGCTCATTATCTTACCGATTTACTTTCAGGCAGAATGTGTCTTGTTCATCAGCTATGGCGAATGCCCTGTGGCGCTACTATATGTTGGATTGATTTCGATTCACCATGCAATTTATCTTGCAAACGCAATCACCATTCTTACTTTGAATCAATCTTGGAAATCACTTATATTAAAACACTATTATAATTTAATTTCCTTCAACAATCATTTCGTAAGATAAAGATTATCAATAATAATTTCAAAATAATTATCAATAATAATTTCAAAATAATTATCAATAATAAGCAATTTCATTGTTTATCTTATGATTCAACATGACTTTGCATCACATCAACAAATGTTGAGTTCGTAATCGCGATCCGAGTGTCAATGGCCGTGATCTTAAAGTGGCGGGCTTTGGCAGCACCGCTGCGCGGTCTACCCACGCTTGCCGTAGCCGCACTTCATCTCCTATATTAACAACCTCCGTGCGCTGTCTCGCAACTCATAGGCGATGCTACAATAAACTTACTCAACTTTATAAAGCATAGAATTTATGAATTTTAAGCAGGTTGGATTAAAGACCAGGGAATTACTTTTATTGAAAAATTTTCTTTTTATTATTATTTTTTCGATGTGTCAAAGAATATTTTTCGTTTGCGTTCGACAAATCGAAAAATTTTGTTCGATATTTTTGAAAAAAGCCAGGAAGCAAAATGGTCAATAAAACTGATTCTCTGGTCTTCAATAAAACTTGCTTGAAATAATAAATTATGGTCTCCAATGCTAACAAATAGATTAAAGGTGACTTACCTAATGCTACTCATTACCATGTATAACTAATGTTTTTCATTAATATTCACGCGTGTTGAATCGTTAAAAAGTATAATTTAAGAGACAGGAGTTCTTTAGCTACATAACTCTTAATTATTACTAATGGTATTTTTTCCAGTGTATTTTTTCCAGTGCGTATAGAAGTTACAATAGAACAATATGTACCATTATTTCGTACGAGTAACAGCAAACAATCCAACGCGGGAAAATAATATACATAAATTGTAATTCACTTATTACATTAAAATCTATTAAAATTATTTGAATTAATACGTTTGCTGTTCAGAGTATATTTATCAAATAGGTTATTCCGATTAAACATTTTCATAGTACGCTTTCAATAACACTTCTATCCTGTCGACCTCCGCAAGTTTTCTACCAAAAGCTTGAATCAGATGCTCATCCAGTCTTTGATATAATTGTTTTTTAATGTATAATATTTGGTGTTTGTGTTGGTTTGCGCGAACAAACCGTCAAATTACGAATGGAAATCTCGGAAATCCTGTAGATCTGAGATCCATAATTGAGATTTCATGGAATAACTGAACAAACAGCTCTGGAGTCTGTTGTGCGCTCAGAATCTAATCAGATTTCGACAATATACATGTAAGTTCCTGAGAGGAATATTGTATTGAGTAACTATTAATTAAAGTCAACGTTGAATATAATTCAAATTGTAACTATTCATTAAATTCATATTGTATCAATTAAAAAAGAATCTTGGAAAGTTTATAGAATAAATTGCAACACGAGAAATATTATAGACAATAAGAAGCAATGTTTTTAATAAATACAAATAGGCAAAAAATGTGCTGCGTATT